TCCTGAAGGACTGAGCTGGTCACTGTCCTGTATTTATCTTGTAGCCTTAATGAAATATTTTCTTTGGATAAATTATTTTGAACTCGTCTTGGAAACATAAGGTTAAATATTTAAAGTGAGGTGAACAAATAAAATTAGATAAACATATGGATGAGTAGAGGAGGTAGGGTGAGACCAGGAGTAAATTGAACCTAACAAACTGAGGAATCAGAAATACACTTTTTAAAAAAATAAGAATACACTTTATAAGAACAATGAGGCTGAAATTGTTTAAAAATTAAGAACAAAATAAGAACAAATTGAGGCTGAGGTAAAATGTCAAATGAGGTTTTTTATTTTTAAAAACTAGAAAAGCCCAAAAATTATATCTCTACCTTATGTGCAGTAGGTGTGACTATGTTCCTCCATAATAAAGTACAGTAGGTGTACCTACCTGCCATCGGGGGACAATTTTTGTGGGGCCTTTTTTCAGCGGCCATTTTTGCAGGGCCACTTATTTTACTACATTCTAGTACAATATACATGCCTACTGCTCTACCATAGTAATTTTCTACGTTTGAAAAATGTGTAAAATAAGAACAAAATAAGAACATTTTGAGCCTGAAATCAGCCAAAAAATAACAACACTGAGCCTGGGCAAAATTTTACTGGTTCTTATAAAAAAAAAAGTGTAGGCATCCAAAAAATAGTACTATAAATTTTCAATAAATAACCATAAGAATAATAAATTTATAATTTCATCGCTTTATCACTATAATTGGTATGGTACTCATTACATTCTTGTGACCCAGCTGAATTAAAATATACACTTTTTTTAAAAAAGAAAAACAATAAAATTTTGCCCAGGCTCAGTGTTCTTATTTTTTGGCTGATTTCAGGCTCAAAATGTTCTTATTTTGTTCTTGGTTTACAGACCTTTTAAACAAAAAATGATTTAATTGTATGGCAGTCTGTACTGGATTGTAGACGAAAGCGACCCCACAAACAATTTCCCCTATCAGATAGGTACACCTACTGTACTGTATTATTGAGGGTATTACAGTCACACCTACTCGCATAAGGTACTGATATAATATTTTGGTTTTTAAAAATATAAACCTCATTTGAAATTTTACCTCAGCCTCAATTTGTTCTTATTTTGTTCTTAATTTTTAAGCAATTTCGGCCTCTGTGTTCTTATAAAAAAAAAAGTGTACCAGTAATCAACAGAATATATAGTACCTTGTAATAGCTTCTACCAAATTTGTAAAACAATTGATATGAATGTAGGCCTCAGTTTGTATGTGTGTGTATGTATTTAACGACTTGCTATGAGTAACCTTGCTTCTGTGAATTCCTAACATGTATGTTTTATAAATGAAAAAGCAACTGAAAAATGTATGTATGTGTGGTGTGTGTGTTTGTGAAGGGGGAGTATTTACATCATTGGTTGTCTGACTATTTGATTTAATTTAATCATTGATTTCAAACTATTTGATTTAATTTATTACAAATTTCTATGCCACTGAAGTCTTGGACTCACTAAAGTTAAAACAGCAAACCACTTAAAACCGTGACAAAAATTTAAATTGTGTATAAAACAATTTAAATCATTTTTGTTCGTAGGAAAAAAAAAATACAAAGGCATACAACATGAGCACATGAGTATGGAAGTAAACATTTATGTTTCTAAGGATGATGGTACTGTATAAGTGACAGGAGAATTTTGCAATCCAACACAAAATGTAAACATGGATTGGCCATGGATGAGTTCATAAAGAATTGATTTAATTGGTAGATTTTCGTCACATGATACTCGCATTTTGCAACTCGCAACTCGCATTTTGCAACTCGCAACTTGCATTTTGCAACTCGCAACTCGCATTTTGCAACTCGCAACTCGCATTTTGTAACTCGCAACTCGCATTTTGTAACTCGTAACTCGCAACTCGCACTGAAGTAACACTCCCCCATTCCACGGTAAAACAGTTTCCATTTTTTAAATATTGTAATGCAAGACAATAAATTCCAATGCAATATTAGTGCGACAGACCACACCAAGAAAAACTTTACTTTTTATTTACTAATCTATGAATTTGGCTTAATAACTAGAGTATTAATATATACATATTTTGTCTGATAATACTTGTAATTGTTGAAACTGTTCAAACAAAACATAGCAGTTAAAATCTTACCAATATCCACATAGCAGGAGTAATCATTATATAACTCAAGAGTTTCCGGGTTGATAAGAATTCCACACCATGGAAACAATCCTGAAAAGACAACAATATATAGACCAATCAGAAGCGGATCCAGGAATTCAATATTCAAGGGGTCCGGGGAAGTAATTTCAGATTCATAGATAGGGGATTAATACCATGGTTTGGGCTGAGGTAAGAAAATTTATGAATATGGCACCTCTGAGATAGCCCGAGATGGCACTCTAGGTCTTAAATTTGAATATAATTTTCTCCATTTTTTGTTTATAATTTTGAAAAATGTTAGGCCCCAGGCCGACTGGACCTCCTTGAATCCGCTACTGAAAGTTAACATCAACTTAATCACTGCCAGTTCAGTTCAATTATATACAATAAACATATAAATATCCAATTATTTATGTTAAATGAATACTGATTGAAAATCTTTATTTTGTATCTCTAAACCCTTTGAATATTAATGCTTTTAAATACCTGCACCAGTTGGAGAATTTTTAAACAGTGAATTTACTTGGCTTATAAAAATTCGCCAGTATAGTGCTGGGTTTATTTATTTACTTTTTGAAAATATTTACATGGTGTTTGAATCCTATTTCATCTAGAAAACAATAATCACTATAGACAAAAAATTATAGCATTAATAATAATAAATTATATAAATATAATACATTAAACAAATGTGATGTTGTGTTCTATGAGTGAAGATACCTGGAATAACCGATAAATAACTAAGTTTCCTTTAAAACTTGCATCTCAAGCATAAAAGAAAAATAATGTAATCGCCCTCACTTGCCTATACCCAGCTAGCAAGCGACGTTGACCCGACGTTGGTTGAAGGTCGAAAAATTATGTTGGCACAACGTACTTACACAAAGGTTGGCGCGATGGCCGTTTTTCCATCGGCCCAACGTGGATTCAGCTGGTTGGAAAGACGTCGGCCCGACTAGTTGGATCTACGTTGGCCCGATAATGTTTGTGCAACGTCGACCAATCACGTTGGCCCAACGTACCTTTCTGATGTTGCCTAGACGTTCATTTTTCCATCGGGCCAACGTCGATTCAGCCAGTTGCAAAGACGTCTATCAGACTAGTTGGATCAACGTCGGGCCAACGTTGGTTGAAGGTCAAATAATTACGTTGGCATAACGTACTTACACAAAGGTTGGCACGACGGCCGTTTTTCCATCGGCCCAACGTGGATTTAGCTTGTTGGAAAGACGTCGACCCGACTAGTTGGATCAACGTCAGGCCGACGTTGGTTGAAGGTCAAATAATTACGTTGGCACAACGTACTTACACAAAGGTTGGACCGACGGCCGTTTTTCCATCGGCCCAATGTGGATACAGCTTGTTGGAAAGACGTCGCGGCCCGACTAGTTGGATCAACGTCGGGCTGACGTTGGTTGAAGGTCAAATATTTACGTTGGCACAACGTA